TCAAGTGTTTCTCACCTGTTGGGCCTCCTGAGGTGTCACTTTCCAGTCACAGTAACTCATTGACACCTAATTCAAGAGAGTCTGACACCTTTGGGGGAATCTAATAGCATTCTTCCCTGTAGATGAGAATGTGTTTCTTGAAAACACTCAATGATTCAGAAGTTTTTCTTCTTCAGTACAATTAGTACTTTTCTTTGAGTTTTCACACAGGTGATGACAGCCCTGAGCCAGATAGATTTTCTAAAAGGTACTGATATCCTCTAAAATCTAGTCTACATCTTAAAACAAAAATGCATACCCATAACTATAGTGATATATAAATTAACCTTTGGGAAAAGATGGTTGAATATTAGATTGTCTGGAGAGAAAAAAAAAAGAGAAAAACAAAACTATTTCTTCAGGTCTAAAAACAAAGACAGCAATTTCCAGACTCACACGTATACTAGGGAAAGTTGATCACAGCCTTGCTCTGGAAGAACTGTCACTTGACCTTTTGAAATGTTGACTCTGGAGTACAGAAAAAAATTCATACCTTTCCACACACGGACTGATTCAAAAGAGAACACCAGTATATTAAAAACGCCTGTTTGTGACAAATCAGTGTTTTATTTAGTATTTCCTAAACAGTTCAGGTCACTATTTCTCTGTCAGTGACACCAAAATATCTCATAAGAAGAAGCATGCCCCCATACAGTTAATGTTGGCCCTTAATATTATGTTAGAAAATCACAATGTATTAAACTCCGTGATTTCCAGTTATTATAGTTTTGCCTGTATTATGTTTTTTAACATTGCTTCTTTCTCATGCCATACACCCAGATATATGTCTCTTATAAATTCTGTATAGTGCAGAGTTTTTTAAGATTGAGAAGAATTGGGCGCCTAGGTGGCTCAGTCGTTAAGCGTCTGCCTTCAGCTCAGGTCATGATCCCACGGTCCTGGGATAGAGCCCCGCATCGGGCTCCCTGCTCAGCAGGAAGCCTGCTTCTCCCTCTCCCACTCCCCCTGCTTGTGTTCCTGCTCCCGCTATCTCTCTGTCAAATAAATAAATAAAGGGCGCCTGGGTGGCTCAGTTGGTTAAGCGACTGCCTTCGGCTCAGGTCATGATCCTGGAGTCCCGGGATCGAGTCCCGCATCGGGCTCCCTGCTCGGCGGGGAGTCTGCTTCTCCCTCTGACCCTCCCCCCTCTCATGTGCTCTCTCTCATTCTCTCTCTCTCAAATAAATAAATAAAATCTTTAAAAAAATAATAATAAATAAATAAATAAATAAAAATCTTTAAAAAAAAAAGACTGAGAAGAATTAAATGTAATGTTGCTTTGAGAATTTCAGTGCATTTCTTTACACAGTTGATTCTACCCTCAGATTAAGGGAAAACGCATCTGGAGTTAAAGTCATGTAGCACTCAGTTCTGCTGCAAAACCCAGCCTTCCACCCCTTATCTGGCAGTTTCTCCCCTGTTTCAGCTCAAAGGCCTTTACATGGGCTCCAGCCCTGCCAGTTGGGGTCCAAAGGACATAATCCAGTGAACTAGAGCTCCCTTTTCCTATTATCGTAGCGTATTCTTACTAAAGTTATTGTGGTTACAAGAATTCGCGATTTAAGCAAAACAAACAAAGCAAAAACAAAGAAAACTTTTTCAAGGGCCAAATTGCCCAAAGATTTCACAAACAATTGTGCAATTAAATTTCCATTAAGACAGAAAATAGAACTATCTGAGCACATTGGATTGCGTCTTAACCACACTGCTGTCAGGGATCCCATCCCATGCCAGATCATACTCGGGATCAGCCAGAGTGGGTGTTACTCTGACAAATTGGCTCAAGAGGAAACAGAATTTAAGGATTTTTTTTTTTTTTGAAATGAAACTTTGAATGGTGTTGTAATCCAAAATAGAAAAAGATACTTGGACTACAAAAAATATATCCGTTATGGGGCTCAGTTTACTCTAACAAGAAGTACCTAACTGCGAACACTGGCAGACATGTTCAACATTCACAGCTATATATTGAGCACCTTGTCTGTGCCTGACCTTGTTCTAGATGCTTCTAATTATCTCTAAACAGAATATGTGAAAACATCGGTCCTCCTTGAGCTTCTATTTGATTGGGATATAATAGACTGAGGTGTAAATGATACTCTGTGTTCGAAGATAAGTGCTGTGGAGAGAAATAAATCAAGGAACAGGGATAAAGAATGTCTGGTGGGGGTCGAAGGAGGGAGGGGGGAGACACTCAGAGAAGGTGACATTTGAGTAAATATTAAAAGTAGTGAGGGAGTGAGCCATGTGGAGACAGAGGGCACAAGCATTCCACACAGAGAGAATAGTGGGTACAAGGGTCCTGAGGCTGAAAGGCCTGCGCCGTTTCCAGGGAACAGCGAAGAGGCAGCATCATTGTGTGAGGTAGCAGCTGAATCAGAGAGTTGAAGGGGTAGGAGAGTAGATCCTAACTGCCGTTTTGCCTTTTATTCTCAGGGAGACAAGGAGTGATTGGAGGGTTGTGAGCAGAGAAGTTACGGTATCTGACTCAAGTTTGAACAGGTTCACTCTGGCTTGTGTGGTGTAGTATTTTTAGAGAACTAGTCAGAAGTTTCACAATTAAAGTGTTCCAGCTTTTAAAAATGGCTTTTGTACAACTCCTGTAATTCACCTCTGACAATGTTATGTGCTTCCTAGGTGGTGAGCGCCTATTTACTTGCCTTTTTACTAAATGTAGCAAAAAACGGCGGTAAATGTCTGTTTCTTCCCCTTTACTGCCACTCAGCTGCCACATCACTGAAAGTGTTTCTTGCCCTGTTGGATATAACATTACAACTCCGAATAAGGCTCCTCAGCTCCCTGGAGGCCTGCTCTCCACTGGCTTGCACGTATCCCATGCCAAGTCCTTCCTCTGACCCCCTACCTTTACTGCTTATCCTGCTTAGAACGCCTTTCCACAATCCCTTCAAAGCCAGCTTGGTTGCCACAATCCTTCACCAAGTGTTTCCATTGCTTTTGACTCATATTCCAAAATCCTCCCGCTCAGAACGGGCATCACCGAGTTTTAGCATCTGTTTGTGTACTATATTGTGTTTTTGGACAGTTCATGTGTTTGCTTTTTCTATCTAACCGGGGATCTTGTGAAAAACTGGGGCCATGCCTGTATTCTCACATGGGACACAGGTCTAAGGTCACAACAGGTGCTTACAATGAGTACCTTATGGTTGGTTGGTTGACCCTTCAACCCCTTTCTCTCAATACCAGTAGCAGTGAGACTAGGCTCCTTGAGTCTGTTTTTCAATGAAGGAATGTTGGGAAGCCCGAGGGAATGGGGGATGGTACAGCAATCCAGGTGAGGAAGCCCCTCTAGTTTTCACTTTGGATTCAGGGCACCCGTCACTCTTCCCCGTCACAGGTGCTGAATAACTGACAGGTAGAACTGACCTGTGCTTTCCTTGCTAGTCCCTCAAATGAAACAGCAGTTGATTTATATGTCTCTTCAGCTGCTCTAACTTCAGTTTTTGTTTTGCCTCTTTGTTTCTTTTTTCACACTGATTATTTGTTGGCAGCATCCACTGCAAATATAGAAGTTCTCACTGAAAAGCATTTTCGGTTATATACAGTTGACATTGAACACTGTGGGTTTGAACTGTTCGGGCCCACTCATATGAGAATTTTCGTCGATAAATACACTACAGTATTATAATGTATTTTCTCTTCCTTATGATTTTCTTAATAACATTTTCTTTTCTCTAAATTTACTATAAGAATACAATATAAAATATATATAACATGCAAAGTATGTGTTAGTCTACTGTTTATGTTGTCAGTAAGGCATCCAGTCAAGAGTAGGCTATTAGTAGTTACGTTTTTGGAGAGTCAAAAGTGCAATGCAGATTTTTTACTGTGCGGGGGGGTTGGTTCCCCTAGCCCCCGTGTTGTCCAAAGGCCAACTGTATCTTAACATATTATAATAAGCAATTGATTGTTTGATGGTGGGAAATAATCAAATGGTTCATTTTGGAGTTCATATATGATATTACTGATAGATTCCTAAGCGTGAAAGATAACACATTCAAAAGAGCAAATAATATACTACGTTTTTATCATTTGTGTGTAAGATCAAAACATACTAAGGAACAGAGAATATATTTTCCAGTATAGTCCCGGTCAGGTATATATCAATTTGAGTTTCAACACATATTTGCTATTTCAACAATGAACAACTCAAATTGGTTTTGTAAATGGATGTCAGTTATAAGGCTCAGTAGTAGAGACAGTGATTAATAATGCATTTGTCAAGGCTCTTTACAACATTTTTCTATCAGAAACAACCATTTGTTGTCATTGAGGTGTTTCATTTTCATTAAAAGCAGGAGTGATTATAAATGAAAAGGAATGTACTATTGAATTTCACACCTTACATTGCTTTCTAGTGATAGAAGTTAATTGCCCTCTGAGTTCTCTTTAAATGAGAGGTAATTTCATAGACTAGATTAAAAAAAAAAAAAAACTCAGAATATAGCTACCTGGACCTGGAGAGCATACTAAAATGAAGCACATTTCTTGAATGGGACTAAAATAACCAAATTTATCTACTGCCTCTATATACAGACATTTTCTCTATCATTGAAATCGTAAGGAGAAGTGAGCAAGGCAGATGGAAGAAGCCTCATTTAGATCCCATGATGTATGCTTGAATATGCATATGTGGGCTATTTTCTTGTTAAAAAGATAAGATATTTGCTGATAATAGAATTCAGCTTTTTAGTCCATTAACATTTAATGTTTGAATTTTGTGAATAAATGTTGGGAGAAATTATTTTTAGATTTCCGTGTTTCATAAAATCAGTGGGTGATTTCCATGTATTACTAAAAGGAAGAAAGAAATCTGTTATTCTGTATTATCTCAGAAAAAGTTTGTAAAGGATTATTGGTTTTTTAAAAATATTGTCATTAAAAATAGTCACCACTGTCTTTTTCAATGCTACATAACTAATAATCTCTGCTGTGTACTTCAGGCATGAACTTCTAGAAGAAGCTCGGAGGAAGGGATTACCTTTTGCTCAGTGGGATGGGCCCACTGTGGTTGCATGGCTGGAGGTAAGAGAATTAAACCAGAAAGCTCTTAAATTCATCACTTCGGTTTGATACTTTTTCTAGATACAGGTAAGGATGGGTTCCTGAAGTCACAGCTTTCGAGTAGCCTGGAGTAGCTTATAAAGGGAATATTTGCTTTATCCAGGGGCCTATGGGCATTGTTTGGATCTTACTCTGATACATTCTTGTGATTGGGGCAGAAGGAAGCACCTAGTGGGATAAAAGGAAGTTTCTCTAAATCTCACCATCTTCATGTCCAGAGAAAGAGAAGACAGCTATTGAGCCACACATCTGTTGTCGCAAGAAAACATCTGTCCCCATCCATCAGTCCAGGGTTCTTCCTCATCAGCAGGTTACAGAGAAGAGCCATCTCTATCTTCAACACTTCTGTGTTTTCCAAGAGATCACTGTCAGCTGACTGCACAGAGAACCATTCCTTTGCTTGGAAATTAATTCTAGAACCTAATTCTCTAAAGCCTAGAGGCCAGCTAGGTTTAGCCACTTGGAATAAAGCAAGAGAATACTTAGCCCCTTGTTCTCCTCTGGGTCTGAAGTGAGTGTTATAATGAAACAAGAACTACATTCAGCATTTTCTACAGAACACTGGGACCGGGGGGGAGGAAAAAAAAACAGCACCTGAGCAGGGTGGGGGGCAGCAGGAGCAGACTGGGACAGTGGAGGAAACACACATTTGATCACAAAAGACCCCTTCGTACCACATATTAATAGTGCTCACTGCCTATTCCGTTCGGTTCTCTAATGTGGATTGCTAGCAGCTGCCGGGAGATGCCAATGTCAGGGCAGAGAAGAAAATAGGCTTTTCTTGCCTGGCAGAGGCTATTAGAACCATTGTTTTAAGTGGTTGGAGATGATGAAATCACTGACTTTCATCATCCTATCATATCCAGAGCTAACAAATTAATCAATGAGGAAATATGAAAACCCATTTTAGTTTAAAAACTAGTCTTATATAGATAGATATAAAGACATACTTTGCATTTTTTCTTAGACTGAGTGAAAGAAGCCTGGTCTTGCTTTATTTTATTTTCTCATATCAGTCAGGGGATTTTCAGCCTATTAGTGATCAGAGCTGCTTCTTCCAAATGTGCTTTTAACATTATGATACTTTAAAAATCAATTATAAGGCAACATGCTTAAGAAAGCACACTTTAAAATTGATAGCAGTTTTTTTGTTCAGTGTAACTCCAATAAAATGAGCTGCAGTTTGACAGAGAGCTGCTATTTTGGCAAGTGATGAACAAAGCCTTAGATGAAAAAAGCTTTATGACATTAAGGAGCTAGGAAATGACAGGCAGTGAAATTTTGTGCTAATTAAACCTATCCTGAGCACACAGAAGTTGCTCATAATGTGCTTCCTAAAGTGACTCAAATTATAAAATGGAATAAATAAGATGAGTGAGCGGGGTGATCCAATGACGGAGAGCTCTTAACTTTCCACCTCCTTTAGTGACTCCTCGTTTGCACAGCCTGGTAAGAATGATGTGCAAACATAAGACTGATGCTTCACACACCATTTATCAACACCAGAAACTTTTTGAAAGTCTAATTAGGGATGATACCCATAACAGTGTATTGGCAAGCATTTGGGTAATATTATTCAGTATAGAAATCTAAATATCTTAGAAAGGGGGGGTGAAAAATCATTAGAGTCCAGTGAAGGTATATTTAGATGTTTACTTATTTTGCATAACATGAGTTTATAAATTAAGAAGTCCCATCTTCCATCATATCTAACAGTGCCTGTCAAGGTGAGGTCAATACCTTGTGCCACACCTGCTGGAAGATAGTACGAACTTCTCAGTGATGGGCTATACTTAGAGCCCCTCTCCCTTGTCTTTTATCTCTAATCACAGCCCAGGCCACAGTGACTCAAAGATTTGGCTTTCGGTTTGTTTGTCTGCCTCCCCTATAGAGACAAGTTAGCCTCCTCATACGACAGAATTTTTTAAATAAAAGGATATCTGGTTAGGTTAGTTATCTATTACCATGTAACAAATTATCCGAAAACGTAACATTTATCTTCTTCATGGCTTCTGTGGGTCAGGAATCTAGCTTGGGTTTCTGATCAAAGTCTCTCACGAGGCTGCAATCAAGGGGTCAGCCAGATTGGCAGGCATCTCAAGGCTTGATGCGGGGAGAATCCACTTCCAAGCTGACTCTGGTTTTCACAGTCATGATTCAGTTCCTTGCCAGTGGCTGGCCAGAAACATCTGTTCCTTGCCACGTGGGTATCTCCAACAGGGCTGCACACAACATGGCAGCTGAATTCCCCCCAGAGCTAGAGCACTGAGACGAGGGAGGGAGAGAGGACTAGCAGGAGTGAAGCTACCCTCTTTTTGTAACCTCATCTGGAAAGTGGCATCCCATCGCTTCCACAATAGTCTATTCATTAGATATAAGACACTGGTTTCAGTCCAAACTGAAAGGCAGAGGACTACACAAAAGCAGAAATATCAGGAGGAAATCCCTGGGACCCATCTTAGAAGCTGCCTACCACAGTGCCTAGAAGTAATAAAGCTGACTCTCTTTGTTTTACAAATGAAGAAAATAAGGCCAAGGTTTAGAGAAGTTCCAGGACTCACCAGTGACAGTGAAGCAATTAGAGCCCAGCCTTCTGGTCCAGAGCTCTGGGCATTGATGTTTGCTGATTTATAGCTTGTCTTCTTTCTCTTATTCTCACTTCTCACTCCTTTTGCTCAATCTGTTCATATCAACAAATAAAATAGTCCAAAAAATCACTATTTTGGACATTTAAAGACCAAGATTTAAACTGCTCACTTGCCTGTGCCCTGCTTCTTATTCATAGCTAATGATGGGGGGGAAGGGGAAATGGAGAGAATATTCCTTTTTCAAATGTGTGTAATTCAAATGCTACAACACCATCCATGTGAATTGGCATTCACCCAGCGCTTAAGATGTATGCAGACACTCTTTACCGATTCCATTGTCTTTTAAGAGCATCATAGCAAAGTTGAAAAATTGGAATCCCTAAGTTCTGATGCATTATTCATTTTCTTACTCTCTTTACCTAAAGTTTTCCAGATGTTTGTAACTTCAGTCTCTCCCTCTAGCACATCATTTTATCCTCCAAAACTTTGTCCATGCAGAACATCAACTTAAGTTCACACAACTATCGCATGCTATAGGTAGGTATGTGAGGAATGGGGCTTAACTACAATACAGGCTTGGATCAAAATCACATGGCTGGAGGTGGTAGAGCTGTCTCTTTCTGCGACAGAACTTCTTTGCCCTCAGAATTCCAAAGGAGATTGATAAATTGAATTCACGCATTAAACAAAGTCGATTGAGCCTTTACCAAATGCAGCTTGTGGCTGTTCTTGTCCTTGAATCCAAGGGGGCGGGGGTGGATTTGGTGATGTGCAGCTATTATGTTTAACCTAATAATATAAAAGAGTTGTTAAATTGCACACCCTAGAGACCCAATTTCAAATCTTTAGTTCCATCACTGCCTAGCTGATATTTTTCAATAAATTGCTTAATGCCTTTGTGCCTCTATGTCATCTGGGGAAAATAATAATAGCATCTGTCTTTTGGGGTTTGGGCAGTAAAAGAGTTCATACGTGTAAAGTGCTTGGAATGGTGCCTAGCACTAAGAGACACTATTAGCTCTTAGTGTAATCTGTGTGTGTGTTTTTTCCCTCTCCAACAGCTCTGGTTGGGAATGCCTGCTTGGTACGTAGCAGCCTGCCGAGCCAACGTGAAAAGTGGAGCCATCATGTCTGCTTTATCAGACACTGAGATCCAGAGAGAGATCGGGATCAGCAATCCCCTGCATCGCTTAAAGCTGCGACTAGCAATCCAGGAGATGGTCTCCCTAACAAGTCCTTCGGCTCCTCCGACATCCCGAACTGTGAGTCCGCTTATGCTCCTTCCCTCTCCAGTGCTGGGCAAATAGCAGCCTCTCTAAGTCCACAGAGCCAGACTGTGGCAGCACACATTTCAATGTCAGCATGAATTATTCCGAAGAGACTCAGCTTGCTCTTGATTAACCTTGCTGCTACTCTTAATAGGTTTTCAAGTGAGGAGCTGTGATTCCGATCAGACTTGAAGGCTGTGACCAAGATAGACTTTTGAGCTAGTTTCTAACTAAAGTCTACGTTTTTCCCCCAGGCAACAGTATCCCAAGTTTACTCTTTTTTAGGATGTTCCCTTTAAAAAAAAAAAAAAAGAACAGGAGATGAGCTGTTGGCATTAGTGCTTTCTGAAGATGCAATGCCGAACTCACTACTTCTTATGCAGTTTTCATAATTATGCAACTATGCAGATATTTGATATTTTATAAATACCAAGTGGAAAACCTTCCTTCAAATTCTCTTTGCTTCTCATTTATAAATCCCTATTCTTCTGATAATTGTGTCCCTATCCTAATGCTAGGAAAGAACAAAATGTCTAAAAGAAAATGCATGCCAGATGACAAATTCATATACTAAGAATAACTCCAAATAATATTCATTCTTCAGTCCATTCCTGATTTATATATATCTTTTGCTGGTAACGGATATGATTTCTGATGTTAACTGAATCTCTGGTCCCATGTCTTATGCAGAATAACAAAATATGAAAGAATGAGGTAAATTTGAGATGTGGGTAAAAGATAGAAAAGTGGTTATTACTTTATTGCAGTTTTCAGACACAAAACTAAACTTGAATATAACTTTTTCTCTGTGGCCTTCAACAGTCTGAAAGAATTGGCTTCATGTTTATTGCACCTATCTTTACATTCCTTCCCACCATACTAGATTCTAATGCCAGAAATACCAGGTCAAATTTAAAAAGGTTTTATCTTTCTTGCATAATTCCATTTTAACTTCTTCTAAATAAGATGTAGAGAAAAGATATAATTTAACAAACGTTATGTATAACATTATTTTAAAATGTCTATAATGTTGTATCCTCTAGCTGACGTGTTACTTAAGCTAAGAAATAATACAGAATATGTTTAACATAAAAGCTGAGTAGGCCATTAAAATAGATATTGTAAACCAAATTCAGATCTGATAGAGTTTAATTTCCAAGTGAGAGCGAAGCATCACAGCTGGTTTGTATCAACACTCTTTTCCTAAGAGCAAAAGCATACGTGGTTACTGAAAATGCAAAATTGGAGCCTTTGAAGTCCCAATTTCAAGAGGAAAAGTAGAATATATTTTATGATTTTTATTTAACATCCAAATCCATTTCTTAATGGAAAATAGAATAATTAAGCACTATTTTTCTAAAAATATCTAAGTGAACTTAAGAAATTTAAATCACAAACTATTAAAAGTAAGAGCATACTCAGTTGTTTAAAGAACAGTCAAATGTGGAGAGAACTTACAATGAGACTCTTCGCGATCTAGCGATCTAGCCTCAGTTCACCTCAAAGGCTTTATCTCCCCAGGACAGGATCCCAGTGACACAGAACTACATTCAGCTTGCTAAACTTTCATGCTTGTGGGTGATTGTGAGCTTTTGCAATTGCTCTTCACTCTGTCTGGAACATTCTTCCCACTCCAGGATCACCATCCTTCCCCAGCTCATCCTTCATCGAATGATTCGTGAATGTTTTTCCTTGAAAAAGCTTTCACTATGCACCAAAATCTGGTTTTTCCCTTCCTGCGTTACCACTCCATATACTTATAAAAACCAATTAAAATTTTTTCTTAATTTATCTTCCACTAAAGCCAACCAAGGATATTGTCAGTTTTCCATGGCCTTAATTCAGTGCCAGGCAAATTATAGAGAGTAGTCAGTAAACATTCATCTTAAGAATGGTGATTGTACAAGTCACTCTACCAACCAATGCAGAGGCTGTAAAATCCGTATGGCCTTGACTTCTATGCCCTTCTACCATAGGACAGCTATGGTAAAGAAAGTAAGACTTGCTCACCACTAGGTTTAGTAGGAGATGACATAGTTTAATTCCTCAATGTTAGGCAGAAGCAAAAAGTTATGGAATTCCAAAGAAACCTTCTTTGGAATTTGAATAAGCCTTCAAAAAGGAACTAACAGTTCAAAGACAGGTAATATATTATTAATTAATTATTAAAAATTACTAATTTTGTTCAATATTAACTTTTGGATAAGACACCTTTTCAGTCTATTTCTTTTATCTTTTTATAAAGATGAATTATGTCACATCATATATCATTTTATATTTTTCTTTTAAAACTTAGTAGTATAGCATGAACATTTTCCTCATATTATTAATATACAATTACAATATCATATCTAATTGCTGCATAACTCCTTCATGGAAATACCATAATGTATTTAACCAAATCCCTAATATTGTACATTTTGCTTATTTAACAATTTTCATTGTATTCACAATACCATAGTGGACGCACATATAGCTATATTGTTGCATAAACTTTTTCCATAGCAATATTTATGTATAGGGCATTTATATTCTTATTACTTTTAAATCTAAATCGCCAAATTGTATTGTGTAGCCTTTTCTTCATCCTTTTGTTAACATTGATTGTTACATTGCTTAAATTTATATTTTTAAAATTACTACTAAAGTTAAAATGTTTTCATATGCTTATTGACTTAGTATTTAAATGAATTACCTATTAGTAATTTTTTCCATTTTTCTAAAGGATACAGGAATATTCCTCTTTCTACTAATGTGTAAAAATTCTTTATTCAGAGAGGATATATACCCTTTACCAAATACTGATGCAAGTTACATAAAAGATAAATTGTATCTATTTGTTATAATAATAATCTACTGAATATTTTTTCTTCCTTTTACTCCACCACATGGAAGTATTTACTCATTTCTAATACATTTTAAATATGATTTGCTTTGCTTATAAATTTCTAGTAATGAATCCACCATATAAAGTGAAGACTAAAACATCTTAAAGTCATCACCTAAAGTTATATATTAGGATTCACATTTTATTTTATTTATTTATTTAATTTTTATTTTTAGAGGGGGTTGAGGGCGGAAGGAGAGGGAGAGAGAGAATCTTAAACAGCTCCATGTGGAGCACTGAGCCCAACGCAGGGATGTTATCGTGTCTCCCAGAACACTAATTAGTTCAGACCATACAAAAGTTTCTGTGTGTTCAGGTTTGGGTTCGTGTTCCTCAGTCAGGTGTATCTTCCTTATTTTCTCAAATTTTCAAGAGAAAAAGACAAGGTTGTTTACTTAGGCTTTTTTTTTTTTTTAAACTGAACAGAACTTCTGTCTGATTCTGCCTCCTTTCCTGTCTACATGAAATGGGCCAGACCACCAAAAGGAAAATCTAATATTTACATTTATTATTTTCTTGGGTCAGCCCTAATTTTCCAGCTTTCTGTTTCTTCTTCCTGAGCTGCTGTTACTGTGGAAAGTCTCTTACCTAATAGAATAAGGATGGAGATATCAGTTCATTGCAATATTTGGTTAAAGAGGGAATGTCATAAAGAATAAGTACATGCTTTAAATATTTTATCTTCAGTAAAAATATGTAAATGTTCAGGCACTTGTAAATTTTAAATAAAACACTTAGGACTTTTCTTTGAGTACAATTCCAATGCCTGGAGTTCTACATTATCTTTCTTTTATAACTTCATACATAAAACATCTTCAATTTTTCTAGTTTGAGTTTCTTTTTAAAGTGATAACTTCAGGATACTCAAAAAGCTATTTGAGTGCAGAATCCTCCTGGACATTTACAGTCTTTTCCCCAGACTTTGATGAAGTTGTATCTCATTGATAACATGTTATAAGATTTGCCTAGATCTGTCTTTCCAAGTAATTCAACTCAGTGTTCTTATGTGAGTGAAACTTATTTTCATTTTATGTAACATTTATTTAAATTGCCTAATTAAAAAATAGTGCAGTATAAAAAATGGGTTTGGGAACGCAGGATTCAGCAAATTCGAGCAGAAATGTGAGGCATAAAATAGGCATCAGTCAGCACAATATACATGGGAAACAAAGAGCATTTATGAAACAAAAGATTTACTGGAGTGGAAATTGCTTAACAAAATTTCTAAAGAAATTGTTGTAAATTTCTAATGAAATTGTGATAATATCCAACATCAGTGGATGCCTAAGTGTCAGGTACTGTTTGAAGTGCTTTACATGTTATAACTTATTTAAGCCCCACAACAACAACACTATGAGATAGGTACTTTTTTTTATATCTGTTGTATAGATGGGAAAAACTGCTGTACAGAGAGGTTAAGTGACTTGTCTAAGGTCACACCACCTTGTTGTTTGCCTCAGAGTTTATGCTACTATTAAGTACACCCTCCTGCTTCCTGCATCTACCTGTTTTCTTCTCTTTTACAGCACTCTTCCAGTCTGCTTTGGTTCCCCTTTCCATTATTAGTAACCTCATAATAAAGTGAGGTGCAATTGTGCAAATGCTAGTCTTCATATAATAATTCTCTTCTTATATTGAAAAACATAAAATCAGATGGGGAGAAATGTGGTTCTGGGCAATTTCGAATGTGAAAAGTAAATGTCAAGTTTATTTACTTTGTAACTCAATTATCAGGTAGAATAATACTGCAAAATGACCTAGGAAGTAACAGAAGTTACTTCCAGGTAGATAAGGTTTAGGATTATTCTGAGGTCTTGCTGCTTTACTTATTTTCTATTTCTGCCAGCAAGAGAAGTGATTATTTTCCCATAATTAATTTTCATGAGTTATCCCTTAAACTAATTTTAATATTTATTTTTATGTTGTAACTCTCTCCTGAATGACTTAATTAGGTAAGTGCTTTAATCCTCAACATCCGTTAGGAATCTTCCTCCTAGTTCTCATTTGATAATACTATCTATATATTCTACTCTGATTGGACTAAGGTGAGGCAATTGAGGCAGGTCAAGTACAATACTGAGGGAGGCATGCTCTGTCAGGTGCTGACCTTGCATTTGCACAGCCATGAAAGTGAGTGCTTCCTTAAGTTTAGTCCCCTTGACACCTTACCTGCTTTATCTTAGTCTCGGAACTGTATCAAAATTGATTATATTATAGTTTAAAATTTTCAGTATTTTTTTCTAGTATGAAGTACATTCCTAACCCACTTAACAGATATAGAATCTAAAATTTAGAGAGGTTTAGGAAATGTCCTAGGGTAGTAACTGAAAAGTGGCATTGCTAGAACTCAAGTGTCTTTATTATAATTTGGTAAATTTCCAGATAGTTGAAATTTTAGAAATCACCTATTAGATTCAGACTCTTAACCACACACACACACACACACACACACACACACACACACATACACACACGAAAATGACTATAGGTAGGTATTCTTCAGCTCAGAATTGGGTACTACAGCATAGACTGCCAAGGAATGAGTAAGTCATTTTTAATGGCTCTCAGAGAACCACAATCAAATTATGGGATCCTTGTCCTTTATGCTTTTCCAAGCTACTTTTTTACACTCTTTATCTTTGGACCCCAGGCATAGTATCCTCTGTTCTTTGGTTGCTCAAAGCCTCGCCCTCTAGCTATTCCTTAAGATATGCTCTTCACTGGAATGCTTATGCTCTACAGCAACCCTTTATGACTTACCCAGGTGAAAGTTCCATACCTTTAGCAGGTGGTGAGGAGAAAGAAATCTGAATAATTGACTTATGGCGCATGGGCTTGCTTATAAAATCAACTTGTTGAAACCTCAATGAATGTCTAAATGATTGGGTTGTGCAGAAGCTATTTTATGAGTTACTTTACAAGATTCTAGAATGGACAGTGTTCCTCACAAGTAAAACTACAGGTCAAAAGAGAACAACTAACATACAACTTAGGTAAGTTTGCCAGCTGTACTTAAGAAAATTGCCCTCAGTATATATTATTTTGCATGTAAAGAGCTACAGACCAAACCCTGGCTTCAAGCATCTTGCCCCTTCCAGAATATGATGATAGACTGGCCAATATAAACTTTAAGATAAACTCTGAAGGGGATTATACATGTATGAATTCCAGTATGAGATAATACGGGTCAAGTTTCTTACAGAAGGAGGGAGATCTTAATTATTTTGATTCACAGTTAACAGAGAAGCTACAAAAATCATTGTAAAACGAGACTGGCTTAAGTGAATTTCAGGTAACCATCACAGCAGCTCCCTTTGAACAAACAGTACAGCCATTCAGGCGAAGCACTGTGGTCTCTGGGTATAAAGGGTATGTGACACAGGAATGTTAAGTTCTTTTTAGTATAGTACACTCTTCACAAAGTTAATAAAAGCAATATATTCCAAGTGATTTAATGATTCATACATCCATATGCCTCTGTTATATTGAGCACCATTCCCAAAAGCTGGGAGTAGAGGGGAGGGGCTCTTAATAACATAGGCAACTCTGGTATTCAAAATAGTTCCTAAGTACACATAGTTTTATCTTATAGGGAAAAATTCAGATATACTCTAAATTCCAAAACGGTAGGAAAATGAGAATTTTGCACATATAAATTTTACATATATGATGGCTGTCCTCTGGGATTTTTTTAAGTAAGCTCTATGCCCAATGTGGGGCATAACTCCCCTTTGTGACTCACCTATATATATATATATATATATATATATATATATATATATATATATATATATATATATATATATTCTTATTCTATATTACGCTTTACTCATATATATAATTCTCTTATAAATGAGATTTCTCTTATATTGAATTATACTCATCAATTTAGTTTATATGTAGTTATTTTTCAAATTATAACATAATTTTTAACAGAAGGAAAATTAAAACGGTGCTATGTGTTGGTAGAAGAGGCCAGAGAGAGTTACGGTAGAGGCTCATGTTGGGGCATCAATTTTGCTACTTCCAATTCTAGACCCCTTCCAAAACAAGTTGTAAGCAATGTATGGGATATAAATTCCATTGTAACTATAGGATGGACGTACTTGGACAACCCTGCAATGTTCATAAGGATTTCTCAGTGAAATGGTGGAATTTAATGGGAAGTGGTTCCCTGTAGCCGTTCCCATCAACAATATGTCTGATCTGTATGTTACTAACTGGACTTTAGTTTAGAAATTGTGCATTATTCAGTGTATAGAGCAAATATCATGGGTTATCTTATTTAGAGAACAAGTGCGACTTTATAAAAGAATAGTGCCTGCTAAAAGGAAAATTTCCTTTTACATCATGTTCTTCTCTATAATGGTATAGGACACTGCTGAGAAATTGGGAAGCCTAGGTTTTGTAATTTCTGACAGCATTTAGTAAGGTTAAAAAAATACCCTTTAAATAAAAATAGCATTTTACTTCTTTTTCCTCTATAAGAATATAGGAAAACAACATACGTAGGGAATTATAAAAGGAAGAAATCATTTGGGAAAAACTGATATTAGTTTCCAGACAGTTGATGGTAGTGCTTTCTGCTCTGTATTGACCACCAATTTTCTCTTTTCAAGGACATTGAAGAATCAAAACTTTGTGAATGAAATACCGGTAATAGCACAACAAAGTAGCTGTGCTTTTGTTTTCTGAAGAAAAATAAACACATTCCCCTACAGATCAAATTTAATCAGTTCTTTATGATTACAAAAAAAAAAAAATTGGATCCAATAGCTCCCTACCTTTGAAATGCAAATCGTGATTCGGCCTTTTTCCTGATTGATAATCACAGGAGCATCATTTTAAATCTATCCCACAGGAGCTTCCCAGCATGCCTCTTTCTACTTAATCTTTTTAAGTAGAAGAAAAAAGGAGCTCTGAGCAAACCAGCAATGCTCTCTCCTGTGCATGCTGTAGAAGCAAGAGCACTGTCGTGGTGCTGTGGGGCTGGTAACTTACAGTATTGCTGCCTTTCTTCTTTACCACTGCTTCCCTACCGTGGACCCCACTGCTCCCCCCCGGGCCTCCTCACTAGCCTTCAGGCAACGTTTGGGTGACCCATGAAGAAATGGAAAATCTGGCTGCTCCAGCAAAAACGGTTAGTCTTATGGCTTTGTTGAACGTGAAGAAAAGTTATTTGGCTGCTATTGGGATGAAAAAGCTATTTTGTGTGTGACAGATCAGAGTAATGGGTATGTTTCCATAGCAATATGCATGAAAACTAATATTTTTCGTTAAGGTTTCATTTTACTGCACTTGAACATTGTTAATGAAACAGGGCTAGATGGTCATCATGAGTTTGTAATATGCAGGCAATAATCAAGAATTTTACAATGCTTATTTATCCATCTTGCAACCCTGGGAATTTTTAGTAACCGATATCACTTAGTATTGTGCATATTCACAGGTAATACATGTTATCAAACCCAATTAAACTGGTAATAGGAAAGTTCAGATTGAACACTCCTTTTTTTCTTTTTTTTTTTTTTTTTTTTTAAGATTTATTTGTTTATTTGAGAGAGGGAAAGAGGGGAGAGGTAGAGGGAGAGGAAAGAGGAGAAGGGGAGAGAATCCCAAGCAGACTCCTTACTGACCACGGAGCCCAATGTGGGCCTCAGTCTCACACAACTGAGATCATGACCTGAGCCAAAAATCAAGAGTCAGATGCTTAACCGACTGAGCCACCCAGGCGCCCCGAAGACTCATTTTTAATACAAGCATTTAGTTTCTTGTACTTTACCAATACAGAACTTAAAACTCCACCCCTCCAAAAAATATTCTGTTCATTTGATATTCAAAGCACAGGCTTAAAGAAATTTTTAATGGCTTTGATTATAATTGTCAGCTTTTAAAAATATAATATTACATATACTCATTTTTCATTTAAAGTAACCAAGTTGGGTATGTCATACATTTTATTCTTAGCAGCTTCTTTTAATTTAATGTCCTTTTGGTTGTATTCATATGTGAAAAATTGATTATCTAGTTTATGAAGGATAAAAATGCCAATGTCATTTTCTAACTATATTTCTAGTTCAGTTTGTTGGGTTTGGTTTTACTCTTGTTTGCTTTTGTTTGTTGTTGACCATTGCTGAAATCTGTTTGATTACCACAAAGCTTTGTTAGAGGGAAACAGTTACTTTTTGTACTTCATTAATTTACTTTATGTTAGATTTTTTCATTGTGTGTATGTGTGTATGTATGTATACATTTACATGTATCGTATACTTGTATATATAGAATCAGGAATTTTTATTGTAGCTTTCTTTTTTACATTTACATTTGGAAAACAACATACTTTTAAGAATTAAAAAAAGATTTGGAATGACCAGATCAAATATATCATGAAAAGCCCATATGTCATATGTGTGTATGTTTAATTGGAATTAACTAAAAACTACATGGTTGCTCTCGAACTGCTAAATTGATTACTGTGAGTTTAATAAGGATCAGTGTATTTATCTACTTAAGTCATAATTAACATTTTCAATAACAAACAATTTTGCTTCTGCTAGAATAGTTTTACTGTTTTCATTTGAGATTAATTATATTCATCTGCTTTATTAATCATTCCCTGCTGCTAACACAGAAAGAATCTGAGGAAGGAAGCTGGGCCCAGGTAGGAAATTCATATGCTCTAAAACAATATCATTTAGTATGCTATGAGGATATAAAGTAAGAAACTGTAGTATGTCGTAATATTATAAATCTTCACTTAGCTTAGGGTTAAGCTAATATGTATATTTGAATTTGTTATATTTAATACTATATATGTCTTTTTAAATCACCATATTTTGCAAAGAAAATGAGTATCATTTCATACCTGGCCTCTTTCAAAGGGAAATTTTCTTTCTTTTTCAAAAGAAGGAACTGTAACTTAAATTTCTCTGAAATTGCCCCTGAATATATTTAATCAGGAATCATTCAAGTTGGATATAAAAGGGGGTGTTAAAAAAAACCTTACGAAACATATGCTTTAAAGTATAATGGAAAGCCTGGGCGGCCTGGGGTCGAAGGCCATGTGTCAGCATGAGACTAAAGGTCTGAAGTCACTTCCATTAATTGAGACAGCCATATGAGACAGGCATCTGTACTTTGAACAAGCATGTGTGTTTGCAAGGAAGCTGCACATTTTTCAGCATTCCCACATGACATACAACCAAAAGAATTAATGCACGTGATTACGCATCTGATTCAAACCTTTGACTATAAGAAAAACTTGGTAGTTATTACTAGGACCTATGTTTAAACATTCAGTAAATTAGGGTGGTATTTGGTTTTGATTTTGGTAAGAATTTCATCCTTTTTAAGAACACACAAAAGAAGGGGAGAGCCTGAGACTTTCATTAGAAATACATATTATAATTACAACCCTTGAATTTGTTGTGACATAAAGAACTGTAAAATTAGTAGATAGTAATAGTCCTTTTTAACAATTGGTTTAGAGGTGATAGTTGACTTCAGTTTTCATTTTGGCTGTCATGAACAATGCTTGGTTAGATGAGTTCTTTCATATTGTTATATTAAATAACTAGATTATTTCTTTGTTTTTTGACCATACCCTGCTTCTTAAATACAGAGTCTATACTGATTGATTTCTAAAAGAGACTGATTGTTCCCCATGACCTTTATGGACCACTGGCTGCATGCTTCACTAGATAACAACAGTGTCCACACAAAGCTTCAGCATTCTGTCTCTCTATACTTGTTGCTCCTTTCTCTATTTGTTTACCAAGGTCTCTACTTTCACGTTGAGATTTGCAATTATACCATAGTAATGGTAATAGTAGCATAGAAGAGATGGTGGAGTATTAGCAGACAGATAAAAATCAATTAAATTAAATAAACTTACCTATACAAAGAATCTTTAAATTCAGCGTTTATATTATGCCATTAATCGTTTTTTAATTTAAAAATGCATATTTGTATATAATGTAATTTCTTTTCAGAAAACAAAACAAACACAATCATTTCCTATAAGCAGGTACCATGATACATGAACCCAGAGTTCCAGTTTATCAAATTAAATCAAATACTTAAAGGCTAGATATTACTTCTGCTTTTTTCCCATATATGATAGTAATCAAATGTCAGTTATCATAATATGCAATATCCTCCTATTACCATCTCATCTTATTGGCTAAGAAACTTGACTGCTATAAAACAATTCTAGTGTCCGGTTTTTCTACAGACTCTGGCTTATGGAGATATGAACCACGAGTGGATTGGAAATGAATGGCTTCCCAGCCTGGGGTTACCTCAATACAGAAGTTATTTTATGGAATGCTTGGTAGATGCAAGAATGTTAGATCACCTAACAAAAAAAGATCTCCGTGTCCACTTAAAAATGGTGGATAGTTTCCATCGGTAGGTTTTTTCCAAATAATAATTAAAATGAAACGATAAATAATGTATATATTACTAGAACAAAAAGATGTCTAGGAGATAGAGAATTATGCTGTTGAAAACATCTGTGTGCATATACTTGGCAAATATTTTCATGCAGCAAATTGCAAGGACTATCTAATGTAGAGCTTTGTACATATTATGAGCTCAAAGTTTATGGAACCACACATGTACACAATTCTCCTGCAGTGTAAATCTTTTTTTTTTTTTTTCTGTATCTTTGGGAAATTCCATGTTTGTGATTTGTACCTGTGTATGTTTTTATTTTTATTTATTTATTTATTTATTTTTTAAAGATTTTATTCATTTATTTGAGAGAGAGAATGAGAGAGAACACATGAGAGGGGATAGGGTCAGAGGGCAAAGCAGACTCCCTGCCGAGCAGGGAGCCCGATGCGGGACTCGATCCAGGGACTCCAGGATCATGACCTGAGCCGAAGGCAGTCGCTTAACCAACTGAGCCACCCAGGCACCCTGTGTATGTTTTTATATTAGGAAATTATTTATTAAGAATAAAATTAAGTCAGTTTCAACTCTATAAATATATATATATGGTTATAAATTATATAATTTAGGTATATACTAGAAAAAATTTGACAGAGCACTGAATCCTAACCACTAGACTACCAGGGAAGCTTAGAAAAAATTTGAGAAGGAATTTTTCTCTGAAGAAAATGTGTTTTTTTTGTTTTCATATAAATATTTTAATATTTTTATTTGTGCATGAATTTTCAGAAAAAAATACCGAATGGATTGTGAGACAGCCATAAGGACACATGAATAAAATGAAACCTCTTTTTTCAAGTTGTTTACCATCTAGGGTGAAGAAGCTTGTTATAATACCATGTCATAAATGTCATGCTGGTATCTTTGGAGGTTATGTGAGAAATTGTCCGTTGGATTATGATTCTTTTTTGTTCACTTCAAGTTTTTATTTATTTATTTTTTAAAGATTTATTTATTTATTTATTTATTTATTTGAGAGAGAGAGAGCACACCGAGCAGGGAGGAGGAGCAGAGTGAGAGAAGTGACTCCCTGTTGAGCAGGGAGCCCAATGAGGGGCTCAATCACAGGACCATGGGATCGTGACCTGAGCCGAAAGTAGACGCTTAATTGACTGAGCCACCCAGGTGCCCCTCAAGTTTTTGTTTAAATTCCAGTTAGTTAACATATAGCATAATATTAGTTTCAGGAGAATTTATGGTTCATCACTTACATACAACACCTAGTGTTCATCACAAAAAGTGCCCTCCTTAATACCCATCACCCATTTAACCCATCCCCCACCCAACTCTATCAACCCTCAGTTTGTTCTCTATAGTTGAGTTTGTTTTATGGTTTCATATATAGTTTATATGATGATAAATTAATAAATATAAATTTAGATGATTTTGGCTTGCAAAACCCTATTTGTTCACACCCTGTCCAACATTTAATTAGTGACTGAAATGAAAATGGTATAAAAAGTCAAATATGTTGATGACATAAAGTTAGGATAAAGAGATAATAATTGGAGCTCTTCAATTAAATTTATGGAGATGTTTTGAATCTTAATGCAGTTGTTGACACTGTTGGATTAATTTTAGTATAGATAAATATGATGTAGTTTTTAAAAACCATTAAAATGTTGGATGGGAATCCATGATTTAAAAGTAGATCAGGTGAAAAAGGTATGATTTATACTTGGCACAAAAATCTCAGTTTTGGTTAATGGCTTACAGGGCATATTTAGATTGTGTTTATTTTCAGACTCAATGAAGTCCTACTATATGGTGAGATGAAAATAAGAAACTCATAATTTATGGGTATTAAATTGTTATTGATAAAGTGGTAAGAGCCTGGTGGAAAAGTTGAATTAATTTTTAAAAATTTCTTTAATTTATTTTTTTATTTTGAGAGAGAGGGAGACAGAGCGAGCAAGTGAGCACCCGTGCAAGCTAGGGGGAGGGGCAGAGGGAGAGAGGGAGAGAGAATCTTAAGCAGGCTTGACTCCCAGCATGGAGCTGGATGCGGGGCTCAATCCCATGACCCTGAGACCATGACCCCAAGACCATGACCCCAAGACCATGACCCTGAGACCATGGCTGAAACCAAGAGTCAGATGCCCAACTGACTGAGACACCCAGGCACCCTGAAAAGTTGAATAAATTAAAGACATTTAGCTTGGATAAAAGTAGACTTTAGACGTTTTCCTATGTTTTGATATTATTACATGATGGAAGAATAGTATTTGCTCTGTTGAACATGTACTTTTCTAGTTCAGATAAGTGTAGATAGTAGAGTGAATGACTTCTGTTCAATAGAAAGAACAGCTTTGTATGACTCCCAATTACCCTATTGTATACACATTATTAGGCAATGAGTTCCTGTTCACTGAACTCTAATTTTACATGGTTGTATTAGATTTTCGAATACTAGAATCTTTGATGATATATTTGTGCCTGTTTCCCATTCTTCACTAGATTTTTAGTTGTTCTACATTATAGTAAAAATGATTATTACAATGATTGTTTTTTTTTTTAAATAAAAATTACTGAAACAGGGTTCTTTTGGTTCAGGGAAATACACAAACTTCATCTTTATGCTATACTTAGTTCTGACTTAAAGCAGGTAGTACTGACTGCATAGTGCATCCCACTGTCATTTTATGGCCCAGTTTTCCATCTGATAGACATTGGTGTAATAATATGTAACCTCCTGGGCACCTGGGTGGCTCAGTTGGTTAAGCGACTGCCTTCAGCTCAGGTCATGATCCTGGAGTCCCGGGATCAAGTCCCACATTGGGCTCCCTGCTCAGCGGGGGGTCTGCTTCTCCCTCTGACCCTCTCCCCTCTCGTGCTCTCTGTCTCTCATTCTCTCTCTCAAATAAATAAATAAAATCTTTAAAAAAATAATAATAATATATAACCTCCTTGCAGTACAATTTTATATTACGTATAAAAACTTGGCAGAAATGAGCCAAGAGCCATTGGTTTAACCTCGAGCTACCTAATGTCTATGACTATTATTACATCAGTATTATCTGTTTTTCCACTACATTAGTTTGCTGGGGGCTGCCATAACAAAATACCACAGACTGGGTGGTTTAAATAACAGAAATTGATTTGCTCGCAATTCTGGAATCTAGAAGTTCAAGATCAAGGTGTCAGCATGATTGGTTTCTTCTTGGCTTGCAGATGGCTGACTTCTTTTGTGTCCTTACATGATCTTTCCTATGTGTGTGCACTTCCCCGGTTTCTCTGCATGTCCAAATTTCCTCTTCTTTTTTTAATTATTTATTTATTTTAAGAAATCTCTACACCAAACGTGGGGCTCAAACTCACAACCCTAAGATCAAGAGTCACACGCTTCTCTGACTGAGCCCTCCAGGCGCCCCCAAATTTCCTCTTATGAGACTGGAAATTTCCAGTGAGACTGGAATAGTACCCACCTTCAGGGCTATATTTTAAATTACCTTTTTAAAAACGCTATCTTCAAATATAGTCATATTCTGAAATACTGAGGGTTAGGGCTTGAGCATTTGAATTTGAGAGAACATAATTCAGCCCATGACACTTTGACTTTTTTCCCATTTCTTCTGATTCTGAAGTATTGTAACTCAGCATTGTCCTTATTAAAATGCAAGGCTTAGAAATGCATCCAATGCTTGGGTATAACCTGGCCAGTGTGTATGTCTAAATTTCTGTGTATTTCTAAATAAGAAATCACTAATAACAATGCTCTTTACTCTTGAAGCCTAGAAATTATTTTTTCCTATTGTACTCTTTCACATCTTTTTTATCTAATATCATGTCTTCTTCTTTCTTCTCTCTGAACATCTTTACTGTCTGGATTTTCTTTTTATGATCATGGCAGTTGTCCTTTTTGTGCCCTTTATTTTCACAGCATTGACCCCTTAATTGACTTCCCTATCCTTAGATTTACCTATTCTCTCCATCTCTGGTTTCCCTGCCGAGTTAGTCTTCTTACACCAAAACCAAGAAACCATTTATGATCAATTCTTTTTGCTGTGAAAACCATCCAAATAATTCTCTGTCACCTAGATGTATTCCACGCTTATGCTGAATGAGGCTTTCCTTAATGTTACCCCATTCTCCATATGTAATCATACTCCTCCTTACTTCCTGGCATGGATTTCCAACTCTGTACAGTATGTCTCACTATCACCACACATTTAAAATTTTATTGGCAACCCTGTGTTCATGGTGCTCCATTTTCTTTAATAACCCTTTCTCTGCTACCTGACCTTTAAGGATCTGATCAGTTTTCTGCTCTCCCACAATCTCCTTTCCACACAGAATTTCATTATCTGCTGACTCATTTCTTTCACGAACTCTGTATCACTGAAAGGTGGTGGCTATTCATTTTGGTATGTGGTTCTGTGTCTTACTTTAACTTATTCATGTGTTTGTATTTCTTTCTCATCAGCTTAAGAAGAAAGTATTCATTTTTTATAAATTCCTTCCTTTCATCACAATAGTGGCTTTAAATTCTTTCCAAATGAGTAAAATGTTCATTTGTCTGCAAATAATGCCAAAATAGCTTGATGGAAGACAAAGACGTATGGATGAACAACATAATCCATAGTTATTTTCAAGACTGTGGTTTTCTTATTTTGAAATTAGTATTTTTACTCTTTAGAAACATGGTGGGTTTCAAATAACTGTAGTTTGTTTCCCACCAGTACTGAAGGATTTAATTACAAATGTAATTTATTATTCCGTTGCCCTAAGAAGTAGTGCATAGTGTTGACTATGCTTAATCGAAGAACATTTATTATCTGCTGAGTAAATTCAATGTGTTTTCTTCTTTTAAAAAAAAAATTAACAGAACAAGTTTACAATATGGAATTATGTGCTTAAAGAGGTTGAATTATGACAGAAAAGAACTAGAAAGAAGACGGGAAGCAAGCCAACATGAAATAAAAGGTAGTATGTCTTTCTTTCATATCAAATACCTTTTTTTCTGGGATTTTTAGTTTTCACTTTTATGAACCCCAAATGCTCTATATGTTACAAGGTCTCTAAGTGCATAACTATTTATGCCACTACTTAGAATTGTGTCATCATTATTTCTTTTTTATTGCTTTTATGAAACATTAAATATAAACATAAAAAAGATATCATCACTTTATAAGGTGAATATCCCATCTAGGACATATTCTTGATTTTTTAAAAAAATTGCATTGACCCCTTATGAACAAATGAATCATGAACAAATGATAATGAACAAATGAATAAATTAAGATTTATTCCTCTGAACCTATTAATTATACATTCTGTTTGTCCTAAAGATACCTTCAGGTAGACATTTTCGTCAAACTTTTTAATAGAACATTCTCATATTCAACAGAGAAACATGGTATATAATTTATTTATAGCAGTTCATCTTTGGTTTATATCATTTGAATTTTATTTCAGTGCTTAGAAATTTTATTTTGTACTCTAGTTACAGAAATTATATAGGGATTTTATATAGAAGTTACACAGAGATTTCCCCTCTATAAACGAGACTAATCCATTAATAATTTTAGCTATAATTGTTAAGTCAAAGAAATTATTTAGAAGCATTGCTAATTGCTGCAACTATTGTGTGTATAAAAAGGTTTGATTTGAATAAGAAAAGACACTCCCTATTACAGATTAGAAAAGTATTGTATTTAATAATTAATGCTCTAAATGTTGAGAACTACCTTAATATACAGGGGAAAGAATTGTTTAAAAGAACATGTGAGATCTTATATTTATTAGACACCACTTTACTTTTATTACTATTGTTGAAAGAAAATTTAATTGTTGGGTATAAGTATTTATGGGTCTTTTTCAGTAAAAATCATCAGTCCACTTATGTCCATTTATATTTTTTTAAAGGAAAAAATTTCTCATTAAGGGAAATATCACCAAATTTTTTGCGGAAGATTTTGGATACAAGCAATGTTTCCATTTACTCTTCCCCAGGAGTTGATATATGGGAGCATTTCATCAAATTCAATAGGTTTTTTTACATTAATTGTTCACAGTTAGGCATGAGTCTCTGTTTTCATCTTCACTTCTTTTGGGGCTCACTTTTTGGGGGGCTCACTTTAAATATGAAAATAGTATGTGCTGCATGTTACATTACCCTTTCCTTCCTATTCAAGTTTAGCGCTGTTTTATTCTTTAGGATTATCTTAGACTGCTATCATTTTCATTTGTGATAAACAATGTCAGAAGTTACTTTTATCTTTGGCAGTTTGGGGAACAGCGCATTAGTTCTAGTAGAATGGGCTTGAATGCACGTGAAGGTGATTGGTTAATATATTTTTCTGTATATGGTTCATTGGAGAGTAGATAAACACACAATGGATTTCTTGTAACAGTTCATTTGACTCATTACTTAGGAGCAAGAAAGTGTTTTTCCTTTATCAAAGTTGAGTTTGTTTGATTTCACTTTATTTTGGGGCCCCAGGAAATTGCAAGTTGTTTTCAGTACATTGTCATTCAGTTGAGTTGAAATTTGGGAACGAATTGATCAAAGAAAGACCTTAGAAAGAAGTCTATGCTTGACCTAACAAAAGATGTTTTAGCACACAAATAGATTTTACCCATGGGATACCACTTTCTAGTTTTCTTTCTGAAGTATTTTTTCCAATTAGATTTTATTATACTTGGTCTCACCACATGGAATGCTTCATATATAGGCAGATGTAAAAGAGAGGGAGAAATTACCAATTTGGCCCTACACCAAATATTATATTAGTATTTGGCAGCTACTGGTTAGAACATAGCCCTGAGAAAAACTGCTGTGATTTACTATGATTGTACACAGACCGCTCCATATGATAGGTGGCTGTGAGTGAGATCATAAAAAGCCCCTGTTTCCTGTAGCTGATCCAATGACATTTGCAGGAATAACTCTTGATGCTGACGAAGGGTCTCTGTTATTATCTGAAGTGTTAATTAACCTTGACCTTAATAAATAGCTTTCTGAAATGAGGGGACCATGTGAATATCAAGAATGTACTAACATTTAATTTGTTGCTAGGAAACAGTCAACACTGATGTCTAGCCATTTATTGTTGAGGTCAAGAAGATCCTTACAAAAGCTTTAAAGTCAGGGCATAAATTTTTCTTGAAAACAGATTTATAGAAAGAGATCTGATTTACAAAATGAAAAAAAAAGTATATTGCTGTTCAGAAGGAATAAAGTTTAGATTAGTGCTTTATTTACCTTCACCCTATAAATAAATGGATTATTTTCTATTTATAATTTTATAAATTTGAGTACTCTGAGCTACAGGTGTGGCAATGGAATTTTAATGAAGGTATATTTGCGGAAATATGGTAAATGCAAATGTCTTGTCTATATTTGCAGAAATACAGTAAATACAAATGTCAAAATATAAGCCCATCTCTAGAAAAGAACAAGCACTTCCTACTTACAGATCCACTTCATGCAAAGAAAACTGGACGGTTTTGTTATTTTTTGAGGAAACTGTAGCATTACTTTTTAAAAATATTGCACTTAGTGAAAGCAATTGGACTTGACTGAGTGCTTGATTTTTGCATTAGTGTGTGATTGAAAAATAATGAATTGACAAAGTAGTGGGGTAAGTAGCAAACTATGGAATCGCTGTTCTATCTTACTGTTCTGTTCTTGGATTTATTGCTTCCAGTTAAAAAAAAGTCTCTCTAGTCTATATTCAATATTTAACTAGTTGTAAAAAAAAAAAAAAAACAATGATGAAGAACCATATTAGCTTCTCATTTTGCCATCTTTACTGAATAGCTGTGTATCAAGACACAAAGGAGAAATGTCCCCATCTGGTGATAAAATCATTGAACTTCAGACAGACCCCTAGAGCTCTAGAATGAAAACAGGAAACACTTTGAGACATCGTGTTCTGTCTGATGGAAGTGCTTTTCAGTGATAACAAACACTCTTCAAATGACAACTTTTTTTTCTAGGCTAAAAGTAGCATAGGTGAGTTATGAGAACGGTAAATACATGCAACACAAGGGGGCCAGGTGCATCAGCGAGTGGATAAAGAAATCAGCATAAATGCTGACTTGGCCAGACACCTGTGGCTCATTTCAGCCAGTAGGTTTGTTTATCATGCAAAATACTGCAGCCTAAAATGATGCACCTCTTTTCCTAGATGTGTTGGTGTGGAGCAATGATCGAGTTATTCGCTGGATACAAGCTATTGGACTTCGAGAATATGCAAATAATATTCTTGAAAGTGGTGTGCATGGCTCACTTATAGCCCTGGATGAGAACTTTGACTACAGCAGCTTAGCTTTATTACTACAGATTCCAACACAGAACACCCAGGCAAGCCCCTCGATGCTGTAGTTGTACTGTGTCCTAATCTATATAATGATAAACTAAACTTTTAGGGAAAAAGTAAAAGTTGGCTGTGCATTCATGATTCCTAATGAGAGTTATTAGCTCAGCTCAACCTTTGAAATGTGTCATTGGGGCTTTAATTTCAAGCCACTGGATTTCTAGCCAGAACAAAATCATAAAATTAAGCAGGAAAAGGGATTTAGAGGTTCTATAGTCCAACCTTCCACCTGAATGCCAGATTTCTCAAAACAATATCCCTGGCAGATGGCTTTCAGTCTCTGCCTCTCTGAGAGGCGTTCATTTCTATTTACATGTCTGAATTAGACAGACACTTAGCAATGAGGATACCAGTGATTCTCCAGCCTGGATAATTATTTGAAATCATCAGAGTTCCTTAAAAACTTAAAAGAAAGCCTGCAAGCTTCATCACAGGCCTAAGAAATCAGATATCCAGAGATAAGATATAGGAATCCTAATTATCTCAAGTTTCCCCCAAATAATGATCATTGAACAAGTTTGAGAATAGATGTGATGAATATCACGCATTGACATGATAAATATCACGTATACATGTGATGAAAATTTGGCAGTCAACTTTATTTTGTTTATATATATTGTGAAGTTTATATAAAATATTCAGTTGGATTAAAGTAACAAAGTGAGGTCAGTGCCCCTTGACCTCAGACATGTATGCGAGGCTATCTCTCCATTGTCCACAGACTAAAGAAAATTGCCCTGCTTTATATTTATAACTAAAACTTGCAATGGCTTGCAGACATGGAGGACTAAAAACTTAAGCTCCCATAAATAAAATAGGATTTGTAATGTTTTCTCAAATGAATGTAATCTCTATGTTTTTTAAAATAAAATGTGACTTTGACGATAACTGTACTTTGATGTCAACAGGCAAGGCAGATTCTTGAAAGGGAATACAATAACCTCCTGGCTCTGGGAACTGAACGGCGACTGGACGAAGTAAGTCCTTCTGTATCATTCACAAGGGATCTCGGAGAGTACAAGTAAAACGGCTTTCAAGGAATAGTGCTCAAAAATCAATCAGATGCATGTTCCCAGGATAGAATCTAGAATTTTCCCCAGTATTGTTCTTAGATATTAAGTGTTATGACTCATTTGGTTTTAGAAAAAACTTTATGAATTCATAAACATTATCATATCAGCCATTAGGAACACAAAGAAGTAATTCCGAAACAGGCTCTTTTATGAGCTGTGACTGAAAAATTATGTTGAGTGACATTTAAAAAAAAGCAATGATAACACTAATCCTGATAAATTCAGCTTTTTAATAAGGAATGTACTTATTTCTTAAATATCAGTATATCTTCACAGGAAATTTTGGGATATTAAAGTGAAGAGAAAACTTGCTTTCAGTAAAGGGGGAGCTTTTCATTATTTTAGATAGCAATATTGAGTTTTCCTTAAAAACATGAAAAACATTTTGACAGTCACAAGATTTGAAAGCCACATGGACTGTAAGAATCCCAAGCATCATATATGCCTGTTTAAATTACTTGGAAAATAATAAACATGTAAGTAGCCTCCTGAGATAAAGGAAGACAAGGGGCATTGGCAAACTGTGAATTGATAAATGCAGTGGACTTTAACAGTCCTTCTGAGTTTTTTACAGGGCCTTTCTGGAAGAAGTAAGAAGAAAACCTGAGTATGAAGTCGAAAATGCAGAGATGCATAATTCTGTGTTGCAAAATGCAGGTGTTTCTTGGCTATAGAGAAAAGATGATTAAAATAATTTTGTGGGGTGCCTGGGTGGCTCAGTTGGTTAAGCGACTGCCTTCGGCTCAGGTCATGATCCCGGAGTCCCGGAATCGAGTCCCACATCGGGCTCCCTGCTCGGCGGGGAGTCTGCTTCTCCCTCTAACCGTACCCCCTCTTGTGCTCTCTCTCTCACTCTCTCTCTCTCTCTCAAATAGATAGATTTTTTTTAAAAAAAAATAATTTTGTGAATGAACCCAGCAAATCCTAAAATGAGGCAATTATTCCACATTCAAACAGGCAGGACAGATGATCTTGGATTTATAAAACCCAGGCTTTCTTTTGCAGAGGAGGTTATAGACAGATAAGCTCTACAGTCTTGACCTGAGCTAACTTCCTATAAATTCATACTCCTGTCCAATCAGGATAATGATTAATATTTTTAAAACCCAGTTAATACTTAACTGATTTTCATTTTATAAGTTGTTTGACAATCTTTTGTCCTTATTCTTAATTGTTGAATCAAAAAGATAGTCTACATACACCTACATCCTTTTGAACATAATTATTCTCCTTGCTAAAAGTTACAAAAGGAATTTTAATAAAAATTATTAAAGATCTGTCCTATTGCTATGTTTTAAAATGTGGCTTGACCCAAAGGAGCCAGGTAGAGACACAAGCCTATATGAGTTAGTGTTGCTTTCTGAGAGTAAAAAATAAGCAGAAAGGTCTAAATGGAATGTGACTATCTGCCTTTAAAATACATTGCATCTTTTTCTTATTGTTAAAAACATGGCACATGAATTTATTACTCAAACTCTTTTGTCCTGTTTTTTGTTTTTGTATTTATTTATTTATTTAGTTAGTTAGTTAGTTAGTTTTAGTGTGAACAAAAATAGCTAAACAACTTACCCAGAACCAGAGTGTACTTGTTTCTGGGGTTGATTACATTCAGATTCCACTAAAAGAATTTGAGAAGTGCTCATGTGCTTCTATAGACTTTGACTTCAGTTAAGAGGGTATCTTTTAACCTCACCCCATGGAAACTTTTTCCTCTGATGTTGTCGCTTGTAGGTCCTATTAACTTTCTGCAGTAACACTGTATTAAAAGAGCAAAAGGAATCATTATTTAAATCTTCAACTTGCTTATTTTTCAGTCCTTAACTCATGCATCATAGGAGTTGTATATCCCTACAATGTAATGCAGTGTTTAGTAGAACTGAAGAATATTTATCTTTATCCAGCAACTCTTTCAAAATTCCAGAAATCAGAGAGGCCACAACTGTGAAATTCTGTTCCTTTTCTTTATTTATAAACATTTGGAGGCGTAGGACCATGCAGAACCTGGCAGCTGAGAAAGGAATAGCAGACATCTCTTAAAGTGTAAAATGGCTACCTAATCTAAACAAAATTTAGATTTGGATAATAAGAACTCTAGTAAAACTATATATATATATATATGTAATATATATATAAACTATATATATGTAATATATATATAAACTATATATATGTAATATATATATATATAATTTCATAAATCTTCTTTTCCAAAATGACTCTGAATATCAGTTAAATTAGCAATCTATGATGAAGAGTACCTTATAATTTTACTCCTCTATAACAGTGATAATTTGAGCCAAAGTGAAATCACCTGAGCTGGTAGGGTCAACCCCACATACTGAGCTATAACTTCAGGGAATGCACAGTCATTGCCTCGATAAGAAACTTAATGGTATAAGAAGATAAGATCTATGTGGAATGATTAATATATTCTTAGAATTTGACACAAAGAATAATTTGTGTTTAATAAAGACTACTACTAGTTCGACACTCGGTTACATAGCATTCCTCACGAATTTAGAGAAAGTTCATTGTATCCGAGGAGATACTTTGTGTATGCACAGAGAGGAAAGAGAGTATATCATTATGATATAGAATTACACTTGTAAAACAGCAAACAGAATTATAATATGCTTTTAGTGGCATCTAAGGAGCACATGGATTTATTAAAAGGATGGTTTCCAGGCTGCGCAGGTTTTTCAGTAAACTACAAGTTAATTCAGTATCAGCTGAAATCTGATGAATGACAAATTTAGAGTTTCTTACATAGACTATAGGCTGTAGTGTTTCATATGATCCAGGCTATATCAAATATAGCTTTTCCCTTTCTCTTTTTTACATAAAAGTAAAATTCAAGAAGTAGTTCAAGTCTGTGAGTCAAACGCAGTTTGCCTAACACTTTTTAAACTAAGTATGTCATCTCATACAGTAAAATGAGTTGGCTTACAGTGTAACAAAGAACAGCTAATATTCTTTTCAGAGAAACTTTTGAGGTTTTATTTTAGATTTTCAAAACTGTTTACTTTTATAGAGAGCAAACCTTAGATTTGAAGTCACAGGAACATTTTTATAAAAACATTTCTGTTGCAAATCTCCTGTGTTATCATTTTGGAATCATAGAACTCTCAAAATAAAGCACAATATTCCATATGTATGCTTTACAGACTGAATATTAATCATTAATATTAATCATTAATATTACATGTTTCTAAGCACACATTTTTAAGTACCTGGACTAGTTTACTTGTTATCATCCCATCAAATTATAATTCTATATTGGCAGAGTGATGACAAGAATTTCAGGCGTGGGTCAACATGGAGAAGACAGTTTCCCCCCCGTGAGGTACATGGAATCAGCATGATGCCTGGGTCCTCAGAAACATTACCGGCTGGATTCAGGTTAACCACAACATCTGGGCAATCGAGGAAAATGACAACGGATGGTATAGTAGTTTTGCATTTCTGCTTATAAAGTAAAAATACCAGTTTAGCAAATGCTAGTATCATTCTCTGACCTTGCATAGCTTTCTGGAACTCTTAAGTTGGTTTGCTCTGCTTGAAGTTTACTTTGCTTTCATCAAAAACCAAACTCTTGTAAACGGCTAATGCATGAACCCATGGCACCTCGTTCACATTTTTAAAAAGAATTTAGAAAATCCTAAAAAGGACAATTTTTGGCTAATGTCCACATCTAGGAAGAACAATACTCATCTGCATGATTTGTGTTTCTTTACTCTTCTATTCTCAAAGTAAAGAATTTGTTTAGTTAGAGGTTGGATTTGGACTAATGGTCCTTAGTGGATGGAAATTAACTCTGTGGTCACCCTACGTGTTTGAATATTGTGAGTTTTATATTTTGTCTTAGAAACCCAGACTTATCAGATCTTTTCACCTCTGACCAAGGCAGAAGGCCTTAAATAAACAAGCACAACTATGAGAAGAGAATTAAACAAACACAAAGCCAACAGTAATTTCCCAATTAGTATTATTTCCTTCTGTGGACATTAGACTTGTGTTACATAATACTTCACAAAGGAAAACAGCCATTCTGAAGGAGAGACCACTTTGAAATAGTAGTCACAAAGTTATTTCTATTTGGGGGGCATTAAAAAAAAATAGATTCCCTCTCTCTTTATTAAGACAATTGCCCAGAGTCATTATTGCTGTTCAAGGTTATAGCTCTCATGGCCCTTAAAATTAGTTCCGATATAGACCGTGATCTCTGATCTACACGTCTTCTCACGTGTAGATATTATGGAACATGCTAACAGAATTCATGAGGAATCTAATGTGATTAAAATTAGTGAAGAAGCTCTTTAATACCTGGAGGGGAAAAAAAATCCACTATCCTGAATTCTCTAGGAGCAATCTTCGCTTCAAAAACAGAAGCACCGTGGGGAGCTGCTTTTGTTACAGTCTTCATCTAAGGAGGACCACACAACAACTCGAAAGCACAGTTGAATCACACTGGAATAAATTTTCATTAGTAACTTGGTCTAGTGGGAAGGGATGTGAGTGGCCTATGTCTGAAAGAAAGAAGGTCTACTAATATGTTCAGGATCCCTTTACGCGGGGGATCATCTTTCTCATCTGAGATTCTGTACTCCATCATCCAAGTTCCTCTAAAGCACTTTTCTCCGTTTGCAGTTGCTTCATCAAGACTGCAGAGGTTAGAGAACTCCACTGTTCGCACATACTCATGTTGACAAGCCACACAAAGGAGGCAGCACTGACTTGCTGTGAGTAGCTTTCCTCGGCTGACAAAAGACAAACCACCCCAAAGTGGAACCTACATAGAGTAGGAAATATACACGATACTCTCTGGGATGGCCTAGCGGTCCAGAAGGGAGATCACCCTCTTGGATCGCTAGAGGGTAGAAGACAAGTCTTAGTATCATAGCTCTGAATCTGGTCTTTCCGATCACCATCTGCCTGCTTTGACTGATGTAAGGTCCCACTGTTGGCGGCCTGGCACTATCTCATTACACATCAGCAGGTCACAGCCCCAGCCACCGTCACCTGCTTTTGAGTAGCATTTTATATGGATGCACGTAGCATTTTACTGAGGACAGTTTGGCACCTTCAGAATGACACACTTCTAAGTGAATATTTTATGTAGGGGAAGCTGAAGTAAGCAGAGATTGATTCTAGTTGGTACACAGAGTCAAATAGCAGAGACAGGAAAATGACTTAGAGGTTGTTTATTATTAAAAACAAAAGGGTAACTGACAATTTTGAACTTTTTGCATGTTGTTTTTCATCGCTGTGATTTATATTTGTTGAAAACAAATATGAGTTTTAAGTAGCTGGGGCTTACAGCATAGGAACAAAGTGAAATTATAAGAATGGCAAATAGGACTAAAACCTTGATTATATCATCATAAGATGCAGGCATTTGTATTTAGAGAAATACTTAGCTGATGAAATCTACTTTCAAGTCCATATAAAAATGGAGTTTGACTGAAAAACATTTGGTGGTAAGACTGTAGTTTCCTGGATTATAAATGTCAAGTGCTCATGAAACTTTTTTAACCTAAAACTGAGTTTTACCAAAATATTCACCATTTATAATAAATTAATATTTTGGAAAAATAATTTTTAGAGCAATATTTAGAACCCAATATGTGCACAAGGATGGGAAGAGGAAGCAGTTATAGGCAGAGGAACAGCTCATCTTGTGCTGTTTATTCATTGCCTTGAACTAAAAGCTCCATGCAATTTATTGTTGGTCTTTGGGGCCTAATATGGGAGCTGGTAGCTGCCTTATTTGGGTCAGTATTTGAAGCTGCTGATAAAACAAAAAGCTTTCTGATAAGAGATTTAATTTCAGAATGTAAAACCTAACATTAAAAATTTAATTATGGTATACAATTTGGCATCTAATTAGGCATGATCTAAAGTATATAATGATTCGGCTAAATAAGAGGCTTTCCAAAATACTGTTTGTAATAGCTTCTACATGATAATTTCCCCAGGAACTGAATACTTCACTAATTTACAAATGACTATTTAATATGTTGAGTAGTGCTTGCTTCTTAGTTCCTGACTGATGGATAGAATTACTCTTTAACTATTTGCAGTCTGTATTTTGTGCATGGCACTCTAGTTCACATTTCCCAGTTTTTACCATTAAATGGGATAAACATATTTATTTACAATAACCTAATCTAGGACAACCAATTTCTATTAGCACTTTTGTTATTAGAAGAATTCAGAACATATCATTTATTGTTTCATTTGTGTCGGGAAGAGAAACTGTGAGCTTTTCCTAAGTATATTATCACAGGAAAGAATCAGTGATGCCACATCACTGATCCAGATCCCTTAAAATATGTCATTTATTACCATTATGTTTTCGTCACAGTTAAACAAAGGTGTCTTTTTAAGAGCTCTAAAAGGTATGAACTCAAATATGACTCTCTTCCATGGAAAAGGCCAACTCAACCAAATTTACTGATGAACAAGCTCTAAATTTTTCAAAAGGATTGCTCACATTTTCTGTGAATACCTTTGTTTCTATTTACCGCCATGCTTTCCACAAACTCGAGCAAATCTTGTTACTTATTAAGTTGGCCTGCACAAAATCGGAGAAGAGCAAATGTTAATTACCTACAGCTCTCGGTCAGATCCTAGCTGACATTCTGGGCACGGGCTCCCAGGGCAGACATAGGCAGGCTGCACGGAGATCACCAACAGTGGCAGAGGGGGATTGTCCAGGCTGGGAGCTGTGGGTAGACTAACGCTGTGCATTAAATATTTTAGATGTCTTTTCCGTCTACTCTACCTAAAGTGCACTACCATCTCAGAAGACGAACAGTGAAAACCTTTGTGAAGACTGAATTCTAAGGACACAACCCCAAGTAATGACTTATTAAGCTGAAAATGTGATCTGGGGGAGTCAGATATTAAGTTTGATTAGTTTACTACAATTGTAAGAAAATGCTTAAGTCATTTGAATAATAAGCATCATCCACATCCTACATTCTGTACAACAGAGGCTTTTATGAAATGGAGCCACTTGTTTTTTCATGTTTTATTGTAATATACTACGCATTTATGTATTACTGTGTATGTATTTCTTTTTAAATGTGTCTTCTGTAAATGGATATAAATATGATTTTTAAAAAAATAAAATATATGGTTCATGGAGTCTCGAGTGCAAACATTTGACAATCCCAAGTACTGTTTGTATTTTACCATCCCACCATTTTTACAGTTTTTGAATTGTAACAGTCAAATCGATATGTTTCTCCTTCAAGTCTGTCAATACTTAAAGCTGAAAACCTGCCTCTGATCATGTAAAAAGGAATGATTTAACCTGGAACTGGAGCCAAAAATAGTCCTTTAAAGGCAATCAGGGATGTCCTAAATCTTTAGAAATAGCACTGTGATGGCTTGATCTCCTTTTCAATACAAAACAGAGCTAAACTGTTTACAAGAGTCAAAAGCAATTCTTTAAAAAAATTTATAAGGAATAAACATTATCTTCTCTTGTTACCTGTGGACCAAGTCAAAAAAGAAAAAAAACTTCTTTACTAAGAACCACATGTTCATCAGATATCTTGAACCGCCAGCCAGCACTGTTCAGTGAATGTCAACCACTGCGGAGTCTGAGGCTCATTTCCATTGAAAAAAAAAACAAAACAAAACCCAGAAACCTTTCCCTTTTGTCAATGTAACAGGGCATTAGTCAGACTCATGTATAATGTTATAAGCTTCTAGCCAAGATGGCCTTGTTGCGACTTCCCTGAAGTCAGTCTTATCAGAGGAAATAAATGAAAGACAGAATGATTAACATATATAGTGTATAAAATTATAGAAGAGTAATCTCTTCCCTGTGGCTTTATTTGGTGGTGTTACTGTTGTTTATTCTTTGTTTATATGGGAGATTTCAAAGTAAAAACCTATTTAATAATACCATTTATCTAACTGCTGATTTTCTGCTGCTTGATCTTATGAAGCGCAAGACCTGTCATTAGTAATTTCCTTTTTGTATTTAATTTGCTATGTTTGCACGTACATTACATTTGTTTTGATGTCTGTTTTTGTTTAACAGATTCAGTCGAAAGGTAATGGTAACAGAAACCCTTTCCATTGTCAATAAAAAAAAAATACTTCCAGTTCTCTGTTTAATCTTTGTTTTCTAGTCACCTAATGTTTAACAATTTACTTGAACCATAATGCAAATTGTCCTTTTAGCGACTCTCAATCTAATATTTATCTTCAATAGTGAGTCTGCCACAAGAGGGAGCCCTAAACTTGCTTATGAAGGTGATTTTAAATTTTCTAGAAATGTTGCCTGAGCAGAAACAATGGGAAAGAGCTTTCTAAGCTCATCTGATCATGGGGATCTTGACTTAAGGAAATGAAATGTAATATAGAAACTATGATATTATAATAAATGATTTGTATCTACTCTCAATACATGACTTAATCACATAATCAGTTTCTCCCCTTTAGAGATCATCTGGTAAGAAATAGTAATCGTTTATAATAGACTCTAATGTAGAGCAATAAAAAGATCTACCTGTTCCCTCAAAAAAAAGTATAAAATACTCTTCAACGTATAATATAATTTCTGCCAGATTCTAAACTCCATTTAATTTGGATTTTTAAGCTCAGAATCTCAGTAGTTTTCCTTCTGGCCATCTATTAACTTTATGAATTTTCACATTTGTAATGATGAGAGCCTGTTCTCAAATAAAATTTTATATAAATAAAAGTGCTCTTGAAATGTAAAGCAGGTCTAATTTTTATATATTTAATGTATTGTCTTGAACAAAATAACTCAATTGGAAAACACTTTTCCATAGATTTTAAAAGAACATCTTTAAATTTTTCCAATGTCTTACAGTAAAAATTTACATGGAAATATCAAAAGAAGGCCATGCAGACTTTATTTCAGCACATTTAAATATGACTGTATTTTTAGTAACATTATATTGTTATTTTTAAAGATATATTTAATCCAGAATATTTTAGGTACAATCTAGTGAAAGTGCTTTATGGTAAGTCTGAAATAGAAAATTCCTTTTCTTTTTCCTCCCAAATTTTAGGCAATCGACAACTCAAGTGTATCTTTCTTGCCCCACTTTTCATCAATGAAAGTAACAGTATTTCTTCTCCAGCCTCATGCACCGTTTTCCAATCCCACTCAACTGGAAAATAACTCAAGCCTGATTGCTAATGTGCCCCTTCAGAATTGATTGCAGGACAAATGTGCAAGAGATCCCACAGATGTACCTTTCACACATGCCTTTGTTTACACCTTGCAAATGAACGATGATATGCATTGAGCTAAAGAATGTGCCATTTCAAATTAACTGAATCTTATATGAAAAAATAAGGTAATACATTTTAAACATTAAAAATGTTATTATTTGTTAAGATTACAGTTGTGATTATGAGTAAAATGTACCCAAGAGAAAAGACACTTTAAGGAACCCGACAGCTTCAAATTATAAGTTGAATGTCTATCTAGTTGGTTTAATTCAGGCTACTAAAAAAACTAAAGAGAACAGTTAGCTGACTATATTTTTTCAGGTATAAACAACCAAGAAACCAATTTAAGCAAACAGGACCTTCCTTTGAGAAGCCATTTATTTATACAGCCTATGGTCCAAAAAAAAAGCTATCATTTTCAGAATGTCTTACACTGGTTGTAAGTAATTTTTATGAAACAAGTAAATAAGCTCTTACGTGTTATCTCTCAAGTATATTTCGTGCCCAGACTATTACGTTAGGACAGCTACTCTTAAAAATAATGTTCCTGATGGACTGAAAGATTGGGAAATACTTTGAGCACCATCAAAGACTCAGTGAGCATGGTATATTTTTTTACTTTAAATGTATTCTTTGATAACTGATATCAGGTAGAATCCTAAGTAATCCTAAGTAAATCACATATTTAACTCTATCAAGTTACTCTGGCTAACTGGCACATTATCATAAGCTTAGTAACAAAGACTCATTTTCAATTACTTTTCTTAATTTCTCAATACTTTTCTATAAGTTTAAATGGAAAAATGTGTTTGGAGGTCACAATATTTTTTTTTAGTGAGTTATTATTTAAGAATTAGAGATTTCACATAAAAATCTGGATTTGGGGTTTCTTAAAAATTCCTGGTCTTTAGCATAATGTAAAAACTTTTACATTTCTTCCTTAAGAACTTTCCTTGTCAGTTTACCCCATTTCTGTGTCATTTGCTTGTTTTGATAGGAAGCTGGAATCATTAAGTGTACAGTTTAAGAACCTGAGACAGGAGGAGGAACTCCAAACAGCTCTCATCTCCATGACAAAGAGATCGGATTAAATGACCTCTAGGATCTGTCAGGCATGTGATTTTCCTTCACTAAAAATGGCCTGAAGGCAGAGCTGTACTCTGGTATCCAACCTTCCCTCAGGAAATGTATGACGAGACAGATCCTCCTATCTAGAAAATCATCTGTCTAGATGATTACCTAAAACCTCCCATGTTATCAATTTCATTTAAAATAACGGGGCATGGGGACATCTCAAGAATATTAGAAAATACTCAGAATTTCTGTAAGAAAAATGATAATTATTTTTGGACTTCAACTTGAGTTTTAGGTTTTGGGTCAAAGCTAGAGATTCCTCATTTCAGGAAGTAGCTCTATATTAATGTGTCTCTTTCAATTAAAATATTTGGGGGGTTCAGTTTTTAAAAATCATACATTAGATATATTTTTCTTAAAGTGCTAGACAACCTTTAAGGAGCCATGTTATAGGCAACTGAAAAAGATGCTCTTTGGATCTAATCAAACAGAAGGCACAGGTCTTTCACTAGGCTTCAAGTATTGTTTTTTAGACCAAGCTTTACAATTCGTATTTCAGTTTGCAATTTCTATTTAAATATTTATTTATGGGAAATAATTCCAAAAATTTGACTCCAGTTAGAAAATGGATTCAAATTGACTCAAAATAGGGAAAAAAGTCATGATGACTGCTTCAGCACTTCTTCTATGTGCCCAAAAATGCTGGGGTCTTCAATTGTAGGTGTTATCTGGAAAGAAAATATGAGTCAGGTGAATGCTCTTCCTTGAACCCCTTTCCCTCTCCCTATAATTAAACAATTACCTGCAATACTGCATTCTCCATTTTCTTATAAAGGCATATAGAAATGTTCAAAAAAGGGGACTCCAAATTTAATATTTTAAAATGTATATATAGTCTTCCAGAGTAATAAACTGTTCAGTTAGCAAAACTATAGGTCCTAAGTGGAATTTCTCTAGAATCCCTCTAATGAGCCTTTCTATGTGCCTCTCTAGAAATATATATATATATATATTTGTATTTACAACTACTATTTACTGTTGCCTCACTTTCTGTTAGATCTTGAGGATTAAAGACATGTATATCTATGCACATATAAAGTGCACCAAAATTCGAAGAATATATATACTTGAATTAGCCTAATGTTTGCCAAAATAATTTTCACTCAGAACAGGAGACATAATTAGCATATGCACCAGTTAGAACTGCTTAAGCATGCATAACCAGCCTCAATTGTTTGCTTTCTCATTCAGTAATAGACATTAATGACTACAATGAAGGAAGTTGTATCTTTAATTCAGTAAGATTGCGTTCCCACAAGTTGTTGGAATTTAACTGACGTATTTACTAATAGTAAAAGTACTTCCACACACTGGTACTCGAAGCATATGGTGTTAATTAATCTGTGTTTCCACAACCCTCATTCCTAGAGAGTGGCTATGCAGTTTCCCCCTTAACATTAAAAAAATGTTAATGCCAAAGAAGTGGGGGAGAAATATTTCAGAACCTGGCATATAACATTTTTGATAATTTACCTTATAGGGCTTGCCATTGACAAGGGCAGACAGAGCCGACCGGGGAATTTTGCCAGACCTCGTTTTGGGTAACTGTTTGACAAACACTGCATTTCGAAAAGCAGCCACAGGGCCAATGCTCTGTCTCACATGGTTTATAATCTCTTCCAAAACTTGTTCCTCTGTTGTATTTATATCTAGGGAGAAAGTCCAGATGATAAGAATTGAATTAACCTTCGTTAATCATTCAGGGCTCAAACACTCAGGAAGGACAAAGCTTTCTCACCTTTTCTCAACACACAGAGCGCTAAGGGCACATGACCTTTCAAAGGATCTTCCTTGCCGACAACAGCGCAGTCGGCCACAGTACCGTGGGAAAGGACTGACTGTAAGAAGGAAAAGCATCCATTTAGAAAATATATGTGTGCATATATAAGAATATATATGCACACACACGTATGTATGTATTTCAATTGGGAAA